AACATCCTACACACAAGGATACATATTGCACTATAAAGTATAGTGAGAAAACTAAATTGAGCTAATCAGCAGAGGCTCAACATGAAAACTTAACAACAGGACAGCTGACGCAAGCTACCTTAATCCGAACTAGAAAAAGTCCTTACCTAAACACTCAATTATATCATAGTTTAACAAAAAGTCAAACTGATAAAAAGTCAACGGTCAACAAAAGTCAACGACCAACCAACTCAACGGCCGCCACTACGTGGAGAAATATTGGCCATGCTATGGCTAAGTCATGACAAAACAGTCGAGATGCAGAGCAACACCACGTATTGGGCCTTCCTGTGTCACGCCGTCGTCTCTGGTAGAATGTGTTTTTCTTCATTAAAAGCTAAATCCCTAAAGACCAAAGCTTATAACATCAGATCTGGTACCTAATAGGTTCAAAATGGATAAATTTTCCAACTTTATCCATTAGGATGGTCCAAAAAAACAAGATCTTAACTTTAAGTCTCAACGGGACCAATAATGCATCTTTCTCAACTTAATGCATTATGTCCAAGTCTCCAGGCATTAAATATGAATCAAAAAGATGTTTATATGGATAAAGTTTCCAATTTATCCATAATAATGCCACAAACTTTCAAGATCTTAACATTAATACACCAAAATAACCTAGAGGACGAAGATAATTTGCATGCTTAAAGGGAAGGAAAAAGATCACAACTTTCCTAATCCATGAGGTCCAAGAAGCATTCGAAACTGATCAAAAGATCTTAGACTCCAATTAACTACAATATTACTCATAAAATAGGCAAAAAATGCCAAAACCCCAAATGACAAGATCTAAGGAACTAAAGAGAAAAATAGGAACTTTATACTCATAATAGTCCAGAAATGAAGTGCCTTTGATGGATCACAATTTCAAACAACATTCCTTGCAACCAAAAGTACTTTATTAATCTTCAAGCTTCATTAAAACACCGTGAAAAGTTCCGAAAAGATGTCCAAGGAGAGAGGAGCTTACTATATAAAAGAGGCTAGGGTTTGCTACAAAGAGGGTTTCTTGGTGTAATGTAGGCTGGAAAATCACCTAAAACAAGGGGTTGAAGCCCTTAAATACGAGCCAAACCCTAATTTAATGAGTTTGCGCTTCATAACGCTCCACGCCATGGAGAACTCATCACCACACTGTCATGAACTCGTTTTTCCAAAAATTCACTACAGCTTCAAACAGTCATAACTTCTTCGTTTCAACTCCGTTTTCAGTGATCTTTATATGTACGCGAATATATTTATAAGCCCCACACATCTATGTACTTACTTTTAACTTAATGAATATCAAAATTAATCAAGGAGTCCAAATATTGTTTTCTCATTCTACCCTTTGGCTCTACTACACAATTTAACAGCTTAACCCACATAACCAATAATATCTACGTTCAGTAAGGTGTATATATTATCCCCATGAAGCCCAAAACCTTTACGTGATTATACTACACCATGCTATCCCAAAATTAGAAACATTTTGAAATAGCTGTTACATTGGTCTAGTTTTAAACTAAGACGTATAAGGGGACGAGTAGTTCAAGTTAAGTTACTGTATTGCAATAGTATGATATAAATAGGAAACCAGTTTTGTAAGATTAATTATAAGTATTATAGTCTTGCCTAATAATCAAATAAGACTTATAAAGGATGTTTAGTTAATTTGAGTTTAAATATTAGCTGGCATCATATTAAGGGTATGTGCGAGACGAACGGAAAGTAAAACTCTGTTATATGACATTATTAGGTATCGATGTACATATTACGTATCAGAATATGATATTGTATTCATTTGGATAAACAAATATGGTAGGTCCGATCAAGAAACAGAAAAGATATGTTTGGCCATCTCCCAGAGTAAGATAACAAAACTTGATTATTCTAGACAATCTTGTGAATTACGTTGCTAATGTGGAGTTATAACCTACATATGTATATAAAATGGGATACCATATTTATCAAATACTTTGATGCCTTAAATTGCCTTTATAACTTACACCGGCCATGGAAGCCCCAAGTTGTGTAGTCAAACCATTACTCTAACAATTCACTGGGTGAGTTGATTCTTCCAAATAATCATGTGTTAGATTTGTATGCTCAAGAGTCATTATTGAGTGATATTGTCAATAGCATATGATCCTATATGGTCACATCTTAATGAAGTTGGTACTTATTAAATATTTATTAGGTATTAGATTATTAATAAATAAATTCAACTCTTATATTTAGTTGGAGAAAAATTATTATTTTAAGAAAATAAGAAAAAAAATGAATGACAAACTAGTCATTATATCGTATGGAATGATTAAATAAGTCATGTACAAGTTTTTGGACACTTTGACAAATCATGAATTAACTAGATAAGTTGCTTTGTTAGTTAAAGGAACTAAGAAACAAATTTTATCTTCTTTCTTAGGCCATGGACGAAGTTTTTAGGAGAGTAGGAGGTTGCTTGTCAACCTCCCTCCTTTCCCCATACTTCTCTTTTAGACCAATACTTTATATTTTAATATTGTATAGCCTTTTTACTTTGCATTGGATATATAAGGAGAGTGTTGCTTGCAAAAAAAAATCACTCTTTTCTCTAAAAAACACCAAGTAGACGTAGCCACTCTTCTCCATCTCCTTTTGCTCTATTTTGAAATTAGTTTTTGGCATTTGGTGACCTTGCATTGTGCTTTCTCCTTTAGTTCTTTTTTGTATTAAACACTTAAAGGCTTAAGAAACACAAGATACAAGAAGGAAGCCAACATTTCTTTGAACCTTACTCTTGGTAGTGGATTACTTCTAGAGAAGCTCAAGCTCTTTTTCTTGCCATCTACTTCAACACCCCAAAACCAAGTGGGTTCAAATGCTCAAAAGTTTGTCATTCTAAAACACACTATGGTTGACTTTAATATCATTCTAACCTATTTAAAAGGATCCTTGGTGGTTTTGTTTTGAAACTATACTCAAAAGTTGTGGTAAATTTTATAACTTCCGTTGCCCGATTTTATGAAAAAAATCACTATTCTTATGTAACTAACACGGTCATCGCCGAGTAGGGGTGCAAACGAGCCAAGCCGAGTCCGAGCCTTGTCAGACTCGACTTAGGCTCGTTTAAGTTATACGAGGCTCGAGCTCGAGCTCGGTTCGATTCGAGCTTCTTGTACTGAGCTCAGCTCGAGCTCGGAGATAATTATACAAGCTCGAATCGGGCTCGGGCTCGGCTCGTTTTTTATCTAACGTGTCTAAATAAGCTTAAGCTCGGCTCGAGCTCGGTAAGAAGCTCTTTTACTAATACCCTAAATCCCTAATCCCCAAATATGTTTTTATTTTAATATATAAAAATAATAATAATTTTTTTTTATAAAGGATCGTTTAGGCTCGCGAGCCTAATCGAGCTTAGTGACATAGGGCTCGAGCTCGAGCTCGAGCTCGTTTAATAAACGACCTTAATATTAAGCTCGAGCTCGGCTCTGGCTCGTTTAAAATCGATTTCGAGTCGAGCTTTTAACGATCCGATCTCGAGTAGCTCACGAGTAGCTTGGCTCGTTTGCACCCTATCGCCGACTAGGATTTATGAGAATCGGTTAGGATGTGTATCTATGGGTGTAAGGTCTATGATATCTAAGTTATGAGATACATCTACATTGTTTGGCAACAATTGGTTTTGTATGTTTGATAATTATAAATTATTATCATAATAATATCGTGAGATTGGAAACACTATGTGTTTTAGAAGGTTTCACAATCTAACCCACTCAAATTAGATGTATCATAGGTAACATAGTTGAAGTAGTTGGAACTTGATTACGATGACAAGTGATTAAGAGACGACATACAATAGCGTTCAGGACCGTTAGATTTTTATGCTATAACATATATCGTGTATTTGATTATATATGACATTCGTAGGGTTTTGTATTTTGAAATGACAGCTTTAGTTAAGATATTTTAATAAAACAAGATAGTTTCTGTAAAATATTTTATTATACTGAAATTTTCCACAAAGATATTACGATTTTTAAAGTGTAAAAAAATGATTTTTGCAGTTCTGAAAAATATGGAATGTCACAAAACGTATCATCGTCAACGGATAAAGATAGGGATGACAAATTGTTCATCATATTCGTAGTGTAGAATGTACATAATCTTTGAAAAACAATATATGATATTTGTAGTGTGAAAATATGCGTGAAATATGTATATATTAGTTTATAACCCGTGGAAACCACGGTTACAAAATTAACTAAACTTTTATAGTAAAAAACTCAAAATTATTAATTACTTATTTTAAATAATTTATTAATTAAGATATTTTTTTAGTTATATAAAATTATAAGCATTGATTTAAATAAATATGTAAAATTATATCATTTTATAATTTGTATTAATTTTATTTTAATTTTTATTCTAATGTTATTAATTTAATATAATTAGAATGAAAATTTTGAAATTTGAAATTTGAAATTTGAAATGGAGAATCAATAGGTTTAGAAGTGGCATGCATTAATTATGAGACATAATAAGGTGACATATGACAAAAAAAGAATAAAATATGTATATATTAATTAGGAGACGTAATATAGTTACACATGTCAAAATGAAAATAAAACTATTCTTTTATTAGAATAAGGATTTATTAATTTGTTTAAAAAAATAAAAGATTTTTTTTATTCAGTCAAATGGTCATATGACATTATGACCATTAACATTTCTCTCTCCTTTGAAATGCTTGGTAACCCGACCTACACCACCCGTTAATCACCATGCTTTTGGACGGTAATTACGTGTAAGATATGAGTGCCACCTCATCTTTCTCTGACGACCCGTACCGCAAAGCCTAAAACAAACAAGGGCTAGCAAGTAGCTTGGAATTACAAAGGATTCAAGTCATTATGTATTTTACCTTGGAGATAGAAATTACATAGAATGAGAAACGTTTGTATGCAAAAATGTTTTGGTGAAATGTGAAAGAATAATTCCCTAAATAAACTTACTACCTCTATTTAGGTATTTCCTCTATCTTCTATAAATGGCCTGCCTTACCATATGTAAATTCGCTCTAATTAAAAACCCAAAAAATAAAGCACACAACCTCGTAATAAGAACTTCAACAGAAATGGATAAAGAAACCTTCATTCCAAGAGCAGTATTTTGTTTTTTTCTCATGGTATTGATTGTAAATAACCATGCTGCAGTTGTCGATGTAAAAACAAAAGGCGCCAAGGGCGATGGTAAAACCGATGATGGCCCGGTAAAAGTTAAATCAATTATTTTTACACCTTGTTCTTGTGTTTATTTAGTGAGTGGAATGGAAAGCAAGAAAAGTAATTTAGAGAGAAAATGTGTTCTCTTACTGTATTTTAAAGAGATAGAAAGGGATGGAATGGATGGGCAAAGACAAAAAAAAGCTTAAATCACACCCATCCATTCCATCCGCTCCAACTCAAGAACGGTTAATTTCCTTCGATTTACTTCCATTCCATTTTCCTTGTTAAAATAGCTTGAGAACAACGTGTTATGTTTTCATTTTATAAAATTTCCTACCAACAGTATACGTTGATTTGACGTTAATATTGGTCGGTTATTTTTGTGATCGAGACTAATTTAGGTTATCATGAATGCTTGGAAAGTTGCCTGTGGAGGACCACCACCAAGCTCGCTTCTGATTCCACCGGGGACTTATTTCGCAGCTCCTATTCAACTGAAAGGTCCATGCAAGGGCCCGATTGAGATCAAGGCCACCGGAGCAACTATCAAAGCCCCACCGGAGGTTGCAAAGTTCAAAACTGATGGTTGGATCGAGATAGAGGGTGTCGATAAGTTGACTATGACTGGTGGTAATTACGACGGCCAAGGCCAGGCAACTTGGAAGAGTAACAACTGCGCCTCTACTGGAGTATGCAAATTACCTGCTGTAAGTTGTGTTTCTTTGAAACTTGTCAATATTCCACGGTTCATCGTAATAGCGTAATCTTAATATTATATAATCACGTTTTATTGTTAAAGATCGTTAAAAATATTACAAATTTATAGGTTTATAAGTAAATATAACAACTCCACATTTTAAAGCTAATAAAAAGAATTGCATGCTCATAAATATGTAAAGATAATAATATGGAGTTTGAAAAAAATCCAAATATAAAAGCGGAATGATTACGTTTGAGAATTCCATCGCAATTTATGATGACATATTCCTTTCATTGGAATTTATTTATAATTAATGTGAAATCCATTCATTTTTCCAATGATATAACATTTCTCGACTCCTTTAATTGTCAGAATATCAGATTGACTAACTGCAAGAATGCAGTAGTGAAAGACTTAACTTCCACCAATAGCAAATTCTTTCACATGAACATATTGGGCTGTGACAATTCCAACCTTGACCACATTACCATTAATGCACCGGGAACCAGTCTTAACACAGATGGAATTCACATCGGGAGATTAAATGGAATCAACATCACAAACACAAACATAAAAACAGGTGATGATTGCATTTCGTTTGGAGATGGAAGCAAGAACGTCCATATTGAGAAAGTGACATGCGGACCAGGACATGGCATCAGTATTGGAAGCCTCGGTAGATACCCAGGCGAACTACCTGTACAAGGAATCTGGATCAAAAACTGCACCATCACCGGCACTGACAATGGACTCAGGATCAAATCCTGGCCTGCTGGTACACCAGGAACTGCTAGTGACATGCATTTTGAAGATATCATCATGCAAAAAGTGGGAAACCCGATATTGGTTGATCAGGAATACTGCCCTTCTGGGAAATGCGAGGTAATGAGCATATATTGATAGCGATCCACTTACATTAATTCTATTCACGTAAAGGATTGAGTATAGTCTTTGTTTATGACCACTAGAAAGGACCTTCAAAAACGAAGTTGTCAAATGTGAGCTTTAGGAAGATCAAGGGATCATCAACAACTAAGGTAGCAGTGAAGCTTATTTGCAGCCCGGGGACATGCCAGAATTTTGAGGTTGCTGATATCAATTTGCAAGGACCTGGAGGACCTGCTACCTCTGAGTGTAAAAACATCAAGCCTAAAGTTGTGGGTCAAGTCGTCCCTCCGGCTTGTCCTTAAGTGCTTGCGGAATTCTCATAGGAAAAAAGTGGATCGAATCATTCACGAATTGCCCAGAGAGGAATTTACATATATGAACATATAGTACGTGCTTGAAAATGTGATTCACGATATTTGTTTTGGTGACTTTTATTTACCGATGGTACATATAAGCAAAATTTATGGAGTGTATTAGTAGATTATTTAATGATATTTGTTATATTTGTTGGACCTATGCCACAAGGAATGAGGCCTATACGGACGACATTTTCGGCAACTATCCAGACGACATGTCATTTGAAAAGCCTATACCTATACCGACAACTTGCCGTTTGTACAAAGTCGTCAGGATAGCCCCGTCGGTAAAAGTGGAAAATGTCGTCAGGATAAATGTCGTCGGTACAGAGCAACCAATACAGACGACATGTCCTCGTCAAAGGGTCGTCGGTACTGATTTTCGACGAAAAAGAAAAGTTTTATTATAAACCAATATTTACGATGACCTGTCGTCTGTGTAAAGCTCACCTTTACCGACGACACTTCGTTTGGATAGGTTTAACGACATGTCGTCTGGAAAAGCCGATGGCAGACAACTTCCATTTTAATAATAGAGACACATGCCGTCTGTAAAAGTGAAATGGTTATTACAGTTATAAAGCTATACTAATGACTTGTCGTCTTATAGACTTTTTTTTTAATAATAATATTTTCACAATATATATGTAGAGTAATATCAAATACTTAATAATCTGTTTTTTTACAACAAATCCAAACTGTATGATGAAATACTTAATAACCATAACAAACCATTAAAACTAAAAAAAAAATTACTACATAGCAAAATAACAAAAAATAATAAAAAAAGTAAGTCTTCAACAAACATTGTTAAAAAAAACCAAGTCTTCAACAAACATTGTTCAAAAATAACATAAAAGAACAATCAGAATCTTCATTGTTCTCAATCTCATTGTCGTCATCGGCAGTGAAGACGAGTCGCCGGAGGTCCTCTGGACGGACAATCGCCGACCGAGAGAGAGAGAGAGAGAGAGAGAGAGAGAGAGAGAGAGAGAGAGAGAGAGAGAGAGAGAGAGAGAGAGAGAGAGAGAGAGAGAGAGAGAGCTTTCGGTGGGGCGCTGCAAATGAGAGGGGGTTGAACAAAGCAGATGACTTAAAACCCTATACCGACGACATGTCGTCAGTATAGAGTTAAGTTACACGACGCCGTTTACCCTTTTCGTAAATTAAAAATATATTAAATAAGAAATATATTTACAGACGACTAGTCACCTGAGTCGACACGGAGTATCACGCGGATCGCTATCATTTACGGACGACTTGTTGTCGGTATAACCCATACAAAACGACGTCGACGTTTCTTTTTTCTGCAAAATGGAATATAAATAAATAAAAACTATATTTGGCGTAAACTATACCAATGACGTATCATCGGCAAAAGTTTTGAGGAAACCGCGTAAAACTTTTATTTCCTGCTTAAGGTATACTGGCGACTTATCATCTCTATATATTCTTACGTAAAAAAATTTTACTCAACTATATACCGACAACATGTCGTCTATACAGATGAAATAGTACCGACGACTTAAGTTGTCTGCATAGCGGTCGTCGACATAGGACTTATTTCTTATAGTGCTAGATTGATATAGTTCTTTAATACATTTCTTACTTGTCACTACAAGAAAAGGTACCTACAGGATGCCTCGAAATATTTCATTGCTATAAATGGAGATATAGTGACGGCATGTCGTTAAAATATATATGACGAGAGCATTTTGACTTTCTAAGATATGGAGACGTCATGTGGTCATAGTAAGTTACTACAAGAATAATTAGCTATCGTGGCGATGCCATCAGCGGTGACAACCACTATTAGCTGCAACTACTAACATATTTGTTTGGTGTCGCCACTAATGGTATCACCACTATTGCCAAATAAATGATCTGTGTGATATCCCAAGAGGTAAACGTATTTTCTTATATTTTGTATCAATCCAAAGGTTGACATCTTGTGTCGTACAACAACAATTCCGATGACATCAATAGCGATGACAAATGTCGCCACTAATACTCGAAAAAAAATGAACCGTGAAATGTTCCCTCCACTGGTTCACTGCTAATGGCCAACCGTCAACGATAAAAGTTGTCATTGATTAATCCCTCTTTCGTTCATTATTTCACCTATGTCTTCCATTCCTCTCAATTCTTCTCTCCGACGATTTCATACTTATTTCGGAGATTTCGTCTGGGTTCAATTGATTTTGACCTCCCACTGCCACCAGGAGCCACATTCACTATTGAGAACGTCATTAATCCATCACCGACAACCCCCATAGTACGGACGACCACCACAAGTTCTTCTCCTCCCTCTCTTCTTCTGCTCTTTCTCTTCTCTTGATGACCAAGATACAACGTTTAATTTTACAAAATTTCATGATTATGGAATCTAGGTCGGCTGTTTCTTTTTGCTACTACAGTACATCCACCACAACACAACCACCCTTCTTTATTCTGACAGAATCAGAATCAAGTTCCACTTTATTTAATGTCATTGTGGCACAATGAAGTTTTGGGTTTGGTCCGATTTGACCAACTATGTTATTTTTTTGCGCAGTAGGCCATCTAACCTTTACTATACATGTTAATTAATCCATTATCGTTAGTCTTTAACCATTCCTCCGTTATGCAGTTATTATAAATTACACAATAACCCCCATGATTTAAATTTATTTCGTAGTTTATCCTTTACCGGCTATAGTTTAAATTATACAACCAAAACTGCCACAATTCTGAAATTATGAGGACCAAAGTGTAAGATTGCCATTGTCTTTGCCATTAAATTTGGTTGAACATACCAGACAGAAATTACCATTTCAGGTTTATCAAATTCAACCCATACCAGACAAATTTTCTTCAAATTGATTAACGATTAATGGTTCATCGGATTCAATTCCATGCACATTGCATCATATTTGGTATATAACTGGTATGACTGGACTATCTCTATTACAATAGAAGAAAAAATACACAAAATCAAATCCCTAGGGTAATAACTTTGACAGATGGAACACCGGTTTACAATACATAAGCTAGAAATTCTATAGTTTAGAAAAAACTTGGAATGAACACCAATTGCACACCCTTTTTAAACTAACGGCACCCTTTAATCATATGAACACACATAAACAAAAGAAAATTTGGCTTAGTGAAGATTAACAAATCATGGAACTTGATCGTCGTCTTTGGAGAGACTTCTACGGTAAAATAGATCTGAATATTTGATTTAAATCATGAGAAAAGACATCACAGATTAAGAAAGCCTATCTTCCTTGGAGAGGGAGGTTTCCATCATCGAATTGGAGTTGGAATTTCAGATAGTAGACGATATCAAGGAGTTGTGATGATTAATTCTAGGGCATCACTGATCATTGAGATGTTTGTTTCCATATAGATTTGAATTTCAGATTGTAGAAACATTACGATGATCGATCTAAAATCCTTCAGGTCTGGAGAAAGTATCGTTGTCGATAGAGGGAAGGAATGAGCAGATTTTGTAGCTGGAGAGACGAAGTAATGAGGTCGGCGATGAATTGTGGTTTTTTTAAAAATTATATCAATTAAGCTAATTATTCATTATTAGGAAACGTTACACTTTGGTCCCCACATTTTCATAAATGTGGCAGTTTTGGTCGTGTAATTTAAATCATAGCTGGTAAGGGACCAACTATGAACGAAATTTAAATCATGCGAGTTATTTGTGTAATTTAGAATAATAGGTTAACGGAGCAATGGTTAAAAGCTAGCGATAATGGCTTAATTGACATGTACAGTAAAAGTTAGGTAGCCTATTGCACAAAAAAACATAATTGGTCAAATCAGACCAAACCCAAAACTTCATTGGGCTATAATGACATTATCCCTTTATTTATTTGTGTATGTATCAGGTATATATTTACAATTATTATTATTATTATATATATATATATATATATATATATATATATATATATATATATATATATAAGTGTATATGATGTGTATTTACTGGCCTAAGTGTATATTATGTGTATTTATATGTCTGAAAACTTGAAATTACTTATGTATATACATATTTTTATGCAATGTGGAATGCATGCTTATATAATGTATGTATATGTGTGTATAATGTACATGTTTGTATAATGTATGCAAACATGAATGTATGTATATGTCTATATGCAAACATGCATGTATGGATGTGAATTATTCATAGTCTTAGGGATTTGGTAATTTGATTGGAACATGATTTCAATTTTATGGTCTTAATTATTATGGACTTCATTTTTAAGGACTTTATTGTTAAAGACTTAATTAATAATGGCTTGACGATTTGTTAATCTTTATTTATTTGTACATAACATGTTAAACCTAAAATTTTGTTTTTGTTTTAATTTAATTATTTCAGAGTTTATGCATTTGTTATGTAATCATCATGTAACACCCGTTTTCCTGGACAAATCAAATTAGGGTTTCAATGGGGGTCAAAAGGTTGGATTTTTGGAGAAAAATGTGCATCACGACGTGAGACATAAGAGGCTCGCGACGTGAGGTGGGTTAAGATGAATTGTTATGTAGTACTGGTCTCACGACGTGAGACACAAAGTGCTCATTACAAGAGAACTGCTGCAGCCCAAGCCCATGATCTGTTAGGGTTTCCTTCGTATTTAAGCACTTCTAAACTCATTTGAGGGTTTCTTATCAGTCCCAAACCCTCTTTTATCTCAGAAAAACCCTAGTCTCCATTATTGCTTGAGCTTTGGTCATTTGGAGCCTTTCTTGGTTTGGAAGAAGAACAAAAGATGAGGGTGATCTTTTGTGGAGGCTTGTAAGGAATCAACATCATCATCAACTTACATTGTTTTTGGACCATTGTAGGTGTTATAGTTTCCATCTTTGTTATTATATGAGGCTAGATCTAAGTTTTGTCCCACTTTTCTCTTTGTTTAAGCAAGTTTAACGAATGGAAACCATAAAGTTGGCACCTTATGGGTTATAATGGCCTTAAGAGTGTTATGGAGTTCAGATATAGTGAATGGTTCAGTTTTGGAACCTTGCATGAAAATTGGATGTATTTTTCTTTAAATTTTGACCCAAATGAGATCTAGAAATGTATTGGACATATATGTCTTCAAAGCATCGACTTTCAAGTGTATTAAGGAGTTATA